AAAAACCTTCACAAATGCCTGTATGTTTAAGGCAAGAAGAGAGGAGGGTAGCCCTAGCCAGTTTGGCTCAGTGGATAGAGTGTCAGCCTGCAGACTGAAGGGTCCCAGGTTCAATTCCAGTCAAGAGAACATGCCCGGGTTGCAGGCTTGCCAATCAATGATTCTCTCTCATCGTTGATGTTTCTATCTCTCTCCCTCAGCCTTCCTCTCTGAAATTAATAAATATATATATTTAAAAAAGAGAGAAAGAGAGAGAGAGAGGGAAGAATAGAGAGAATGCTTCACTAAGCATTTGCCTCCTGCACATGCGGGCAAACCACGGCCCGCAGGCCGGATCCGGTTTGAAATGAATAAAACTATTGAAAAAAAAGACCGTACCCTTTTATGTAATGATGTTTGCTTTGAATTTATATTAGTTCACACAAACACTCCATCCATGCTTTTGTTCCGGCCCTCCGGTCCAGTTTAAGAATCCACTGTGGCCTTCGAGTCAAAAAGTTTGCCCACCCCTGCCCTAGAGTGAAACATTTTTGCAAACCCTGAAAAGAATACCAAGATGAATTGGGGCGTGTCCTGGATGATCCAAGGAGTAGTGAGCCCAACCTCTTTATATTCCTGGGACTAATGATTCCCCTGCATTTCCAGGGAATCTTTAAAAGATACTTTCCTTTGCAGATTCCAATGGCCCATTTGTTAGTTCTGTGCCCACTGGCCTGACCCTCTCCAACAGTGTCCTACGTCTTGACCCAGAGCACAGCAGCCATCCTGCCTTGATCCTCTTCTACCCGACACTGCCTCAGATGGCTGCAACCCAGCTGGTCAACCAGGTTAGCAGCAGCTCCCCTCCCTGAATAGGGTAGCACTAGGTAGGTAATGAGTTGTGTGGCTGATAAGACTTTAAGGAAGTCTTTACGCTCCCCCTAGGCGTGGCTCAGGGCTTGAGTGTTGATGTATGAACCAGGAGGTCATTATTCGATTCCCAGTCAAGGCACATGCCCAGGTTACAGCCTCGATTCCCAGTGTGGGGTGTGCAGGAGGCAGTCGATCAATGATACTCTCTCATCATTGATGTTTCTACCTCTCTCTCACTCTTTCTCTCTCTCTCTCTCCAGCTTCCTCTCTGAAATCAATAAAAATATATATATTTTAAAAAAGACTTTAAGGAAGGAACAAAAAAGGGAGCACCCCTACTCTGTGCATCCTCTCATTGAGCCAATATCATGCAATCAGACCAATGAGGTTTTGTTCCGAAATTCAGGAATTTGGGTGACTTGCTGCAGATCCTTTGCTTAAAGCTTCTTTGGTGGATGGATCATGGGGCCTGAGGACCAAGGGAGGATGTATGTGTCCCCCCACCCTTTGTCCTAGCATCTCTAGTCTTCTCTGGTGAGCAAGAGGACTCATATAGACCACGCGCTGAGCATGGAGTTTTTCTCTACTCTCCAGCTGGTACTCACCGTGTTTGCCGTGTCTTCCCCACAATGTGGAGGGTTAGATGGGGAAGGCAGCCTGGTGGTGGGTCTCTCAGTGACTGCTGGAGCGCCGGCATGGGTAAGAACCCCACCCATACCAAACAGGGGGCTTGGGGAAGGCTGGATTCTACTCCTCAAGGGAGAGACAGTTGTTGTTTTTTGTGTTTGTGTTTTTAAGGAACTAGATTAATAGAAAACATTGAGTATGCTAATTATATCTAAATCAATGCAAAAACTCAAGTGAGTTTTTGAGAGTTCATCTCTAGTTTGCTAGTTTGGCGTTCCACTGAGTGGAGAGGCTGGTGTGAAAGGAAATGGGCTGGCGTTCAGTCCTCCAGGGGGAGGTTTAATGAGGAATAAAGGAGAGAGGTTGGTAGCATCAAATAAGGAAATTTAATCATTTTTAGATATGTTTGTATTTATTGAAGAGAGAGAGGAAGGGAGAGGAAGAGAGCGATAGAACCATCAACGAGAGAAACATCTATCAGCTGCTTTCTGCACACCCGCTACTGAGGATCGAGCCCGAAACCCAGCATGTGCCTTGACCGTTGAACTCGTGACCTTTTGGTGCATGGGATGATGCTCAACCAATTGAACCACAGCAGCCAGGGCAGAAATCTAACCATTTTGTGTGGTGTCTATAAAGGAACCAAATTAGCTGCTCTTTGCCCTCTGTCTCTTATTTTAAGAGGTTACAGAGTCGGTGGTTAGGGATAGTCCCTTCCTGGGAATAAAACCCTGGTTGACTGGCTCCTATTTATTAAGTGCTTTATTCTGTGTTAGGCACTATACTAGGCCTTTACCTACATTTGGTAAGACGAAGCCCAGAGAGCTTCCATTAATTTATTCAATAAATGTGTCAAGCATGGGTTTGCAGTGGTGGACAAATCAGACACATCGCCACTTGCCTGGAGTTTATATTTAGTGGGGATAGCTTCCTCACCTAGAAAGTGGGAAAGCCAAGGTTTTTGTTGTTGCTGCTGCTCTTACTGGATTTCAAGTGTACAGAATAGTTCTTTGTTTGACATCCTCTCCTCGTTGGCCTATATATGGCTCACCCTTACTTGGTTTCTTTATAAGATAATACTTAATCATCATTATTAACCATCCACCCACAAGTAAAACTAGAACCTTAACAGTCACAGAAATCAACACACACGCACACATATACGTTTTTGTGTGTGTAGTTTCGTCTCATTCATAATATTCTGAGAAGCATATTTTCATTTAGATGTTTTTTAACTCTACAAAAAGGCTATCATGTCATGCATAGTCTGCTGGCACTATTATTTTCTTGATATTTTATTGCTAAGGTCCATCCCTATTATTGAGTGTTACTGTGGGGTTCACTCATTTTGACTGCTGAATAATTTCCATTGTGTAAATAGACCACTGTTTATCACCCATTCTCCTGTCAATGGGCACTTGGGTTACTTCAAGTGTTTTGCTGTTGTGAACAGTGCTGCTCTGTGGCTGCCTCCTGGTGGAGGTTTAGAAAGGTCTCTTGGGTATATAGTGAGCAGTGAAGTTCCCGAGTTAGAAAGCGTGTGTTCGTTTACCTTTACAAGAGGAGGCTATACTGTGTTCCTGGTGGAGGTTTAGAAAGGTCTCTTGGGTATATAAGTGAGCAGCGAAGTTCCCGAGTCAGAAAGCTTGTGTTCGTTTACCTTTACAAGAGGTGGCTATATTGTGTTCAGAATGGTTATCCCAATTCACACTCCCACCAGCAGTCGTAACTAGTTCTGTCCTGTATCTGAACCAAAGTATCTGTTGCTAAAGTCTCTGCTCTTAATACCATGTGTACTACCTCTCTCCTATCCAGGGGTCCTTTTTGATTTGTTTATTTGTTTGTTTATTATTTTTATTGATTTCAGAGAGGAAGGGAGAGTGACAGAAAGATAGACGCCTCAATGATGAGAGAATCATTGATTGGCAGCCTCCTGAACCGTGATCTCCTGGTTCATAGGTCGACACTCAACCACTGAGCCACACCAGCTGGGCCAGGGGTCCTTTTTTAGAAGCAACACGAACCCTGTTCACTCTCTGGGTCCAGCAGTGATGACTGGCATCTGGGAGCATCACTGGGCCTGAAGTCAGGAGATGGGTGAAGCTCATAACACATGAGACTCCAAGACACCCTGAGAGGTTGCTCCTCTTCCATGAAATCGGAAGCTCCAGTTGCCTTGGGTGCCCTCTAACCTGTTCTCAGCAACTTCCGCCTTTGTTGTTACCCTGCCCGTCCATCCCCAGGCCGGGTGTAGGAGGAGGAGGGAGCACAGGCCCTGCTCTGTGTGCCTCCTCTCTCCCCACAGGGGTGCTGGATGGGACCGGTGCTCGGCACCAATATTGCAGGCCCAGCCTTCACATGCTTGTGCTCCTCTGGTGCTTCACGAGAAAAGCCGTGGCCTTTATGACTTGCTACAATGTGGAGGCAGTGAAGCATACCAGTGTTTCCCATTTTGCCTCCACCACCCCACAACCCCCACTTCCAGGTTCCAAGACCCTCCCCAAGCCTGAGCACAACCAAACCTCTTTCTTCAAGCTGCCCTTCCCCGTCCTGTCCTCTTCTCTCTTTTGACCAGCCTGTTTCCCCACGTATCCCCACCCCTTCCTTTCCCAAAGAATCAACGTTTAGGACTCCAGTGTCCTGATCACAGCCGCATTAGGAGGCATTAAACCCTCCCATTGCTTCATAGCCAGGACTGTTTCTGTCCTTTCAGTGCCTCCTGCTAGGACCTCCTGAGTTAGGGAAGGCGACTGTAAAAGCTAATTCTGGGATTTAACCCTTTTCCTCTCCCCAGTCCTCCAACCTCACTTCCAACCTGTCCATGCAAGGTAGCTTCTTCCCCCTATCTGTCTCTGTGCCTGAAAGGTAGGCTGAGGGTTGGCAAAGGAAGGTGCTGGCATGGGCTGGGGCTCGGGAACCCGGGCTCTGAGAAAGCCAGACACAGCAGAACTATTCTTGTTCCAGAGCTGCAGCGTGCACAGATTCCAGCCCAAACCAGCCAATAGAAGAAGGCCCTCTAATCCCAGAGAACTAAAGCATTCTTTTTCAGTTATCCAATATCCCTGCTGCGCCCCACTCCTGACCCCCACCCTCACCCTTACCCCTGGCTGACTCAGAGGGGTCTGGAAGCCCCCAGGAGCACATGCTCAGAGTCCATGAAGTGAACTCAGCTTGCCTGACCTTCCACGCAGAGCTGAGGAATGTTCTAATATAGACGTCAATCAGGACGATGAACCTCAACTTTGACATGAAAAGAAAGGGACCTGCCCCCTCTTCTTGGTCCTTTTCTTCCAGGGGCTCTCCAGCCCTGGCCCTACCCCCACCTTCACACCCATGCCTCTTCTCACCTCCCAGTTGAGGAGGGAGAGGAGCTCTATCAGAGGCATGAGAGCGGGCCAGCCCGCTGCAGCTGTGAAGGGGTTAAGAGGCTGGGCCAGCCCCTCAGCCCGCCCCTCCCAGGGATTCAGAGTCCTCTATAAAGGGGCCTCTCCACCCAAAGCAGGCCAAGGAGGGTGAGGGACCCAGGCATTGTGCCCCTCCCCTCTGCCATGTGGGAACTGCAGTCAGCCTCCTTCTGGAGGGCCATATTTGCCGAGTTCTTTGCCACCCTCTTCTACGTCTTCTTCGGGCTGGGGGCCTCGCTGCGTTGGGGCCCTGGACCCCTGCACGTCTTGCAGGTGGCTCTGGCCTTTGGCCTGGCCCTGGCTACGCTAGTGCAGGCGGTGGGCCACATCAGTGGAGCCCATGTCAATCCTGCAGTCACTTTTGCCTTCCTTGTGGGCTCCCAGATGTCCCTGCTCCGTGCCTTCTCCTATATGGCAGCCCAACTCCTGGGAGCTGTGGTGGGGGCTGCCATGCTGTACAGTGTCACCCCACCTGCTGTCCGAGGAAACCTAGCGCTTAACACGGTAATGATCGGCTGAGTGGGGCTGAGGGAACCTGGTGCCTTGACGCCCTGCCAGTGCAGGGGGACCCGTACCCCGGGGATCTGGGACATGGTGTGTGTGAGGGTGTGTGTGTGTGTTTCAGGGTGGGGAGGGTCCGCAGGTGCTTTGGAGGGATAAGAGTCTAGAGCCCTGGACTGAGAATCAAGGAACCTGAGTTCCATCTCAGCTTTCCTTCCGATTCCTCGCAGGTTCTTGAGGACTTGTTTTACCTATGGGACCTCAGTTTCTGCATCCCTACAACTGGGTGTGATTACTTCCGACGCTAGGAGAAATTAGAAAACAGACACAGTTACTATCATCTTTCATCTCCAGGAAAGGGAGGAGGGTGGCTCCTGCCCGGGAGATCTAGAGGAGGTAATGCTGTGACAGCCCTACTGAACCCCCTCTCTTCTCCCTTTGCCCAGTTGCACCCTGGGGTGAGTGTGGGCCAGGCGACCACGGTGGAGATCCTCCTGACGCTGCAGTTGGTGCTCTGCATCCTTGCTACGTACGATGAGAGGCGGAATGGCCGCCTGGGCTCCGTGGCCCTGGCCGTTGGCTTCTCCCTCACCCTGGGCCACCTGTCTGGGGTAAGTAGGAGAGGGAAGCAACTACTCCTTTAAGGATTCCAGGGCCCCCAAAACCTTTCTCACCTAACTATCAAACATGAACATTACTCACCTCCCTCTGTATCAGTCAGCCCAGAGGAATCAATCCTTCTCACTCTCTTGTGGCTGCTGTACCTGGTCTCTCTTGAACCCAAGGTGGAAATGCATTGTGGGGATTTGTGGGCTTAGCTGATGGATCGATAGTCTATCCCCAGATGGAGCATCGGCACCTTCACTCCACGGTGGGGCTCCCGTGCGGCTGTCCTTCCCTGCTTGCTGCTAGAGGCAAGGTGCCAGCCCTCAGGGATAAGTGAGCTGTGGGGAGAGGAGCTGGGGAGAGTGGGGGAAGTGTCTTAGTTACAACTGTGTCTTTTGCAGATGAATTATACTGGTGCAGGCATGAACCCTGCCCGCTCCTTTGCTCCTGCCATTCTCACCAGAAACTTCACCAACCAGTGGGTGAGTGCGGGGAGAGGAGCAAGATGCTGAGGCCCCGGATGGGTGTGGATCGCAGGTTCCAGGTTTGGTTCCTGCTTCCCTCTGGGTGTGCTGACTGCCCTACCAGCACTCAGGTCAACGGGCTGTCACAGAGTTTGGGATGCCTGTGTGAGCAGGATTCATTATTTTGCCAGAAAGAGAGGCTCTTGCTCAGATTGTTCCTTCACTGGTTAGTTAGGGAATTTTACTAAGTACCCACTGTATTCCAAAACTAGCACCGGCAGGACAGACAACTGAACAGGAAGACAAACATTCCTCCTCTCAGAGGTCAGGATGGGCCTGGGCCTCATCCCCGTTCTAGCACTTTGCTAGCCTTGTGTGTGACCATGGCAAGAACACAATCCATTTCCTGCACCTCCATGTCCTCACTATAAATCAAGGTTTTATGGAAAGTAAGTGTGAAAGTTATAGCACAGAATCAGGTATGAAATAAGTCCTCAATAAAAATGCATTGTTTGTGTTGTTTGGCCATATGACAGACAAAACCTGAAAATAATTCAAAACATTTTCAGGCTGCTCTGTCTGTGGAGTAGCCCACTCTGTCTCCCTGCTCCACTAATAAATTCTTTTACTTTAAATTCTAATAATTTTTTTCAAAGCTATATACCCATTTTCACAGCCACATTATTCACAGTAACCAGAAGGTAGAAGCAACCCAAGTGTCCCTTACAGACGAATGAAAAAACAAAATTTAGTATATACATATAATGGCATAGTATTCCGCCTTACAAGAGAAGGAAATCCTGTTATATGCTGCAACATGGATGAACCTTGAGGACATTATGCTTAATGAAATAAGCCAGTTACAAAAAGACAAATACTTTATAATTGCACCCATATGTGGTATTTACAGTAGTAGAATTCATTGAAATAAAACAAAATGATAGCTGACAGGGGGTAGGGAGAGGGGAAATGGGGAGTTGTTGGTTAATGGATGTAGAGTTTCAGTTTTGCAAGATGAAAAGTTCTGGGGATTGGCTGCACAACCATGTGAATATACTTAATATTTTTGAACTGCACACTTAGAAGTGGTTAAGGGCCCTAGCTCAGTTGGTTAGAATGTCATCCAAATACACCAAGGTTGTGAGTTTGATCCCAGGTGAGGGCACATACAAGAAGCAACCAATGAAGGCGTAAATAAGTGTAACAACAAATCAATGTCTCTCTCTCTCTCTCTCTCTCTCTCTCTCAAGTCAAGTTCTTTTTTTTAGGTAAATTTAAAAAAAAAGAAATGATTAAGATGGTAAATTTTATGTTATGTGCATTTTTTCACAATTAAAACATTTTTCAAAGTAATATGCAAACTAGTACCAACTAATAACAACAAAGAGAATGTACATGTGTTAAGAAGGTATGGGATAAAGGAATAATTTGATGAGTCAGAAAAAAAATGGTAAATTTTGAAGTGTAGACTGTGGAACAGTTTAGCGTTTAAAAACACACCAACAGCCCTAGCCAGTTTGGCTCAGTGGCTAGAGCATCGGCCCGTGGACTGAACGGTCCCAGATTCAATCCCCGTCAAGGACACAGATCCCTTGGTTGCAGTATTATACACTTGATCCTTGAGCCCCCTCGGGGTGCATGCGGAAGGCAACCAATGATGTGTCTCTCTCACAATGACTTTTTTCTCTGTCTCTCCCCTTCCCTTCCACTCTCTCTAAAAATCAATGGAAACATATCCTTGAGTGAGGATTAACAAAAACAAACAAACACTGATTTCTGTTTAAATAGTGCCCAAGTAGGTACCCAAGTACATCTGTGTTTTTTTAAACTATACTTTATTGATTTTTTACAGAGAGGAAGGGAGAGGGATAGAGAGTGAGAAACATCAATGAGAGAGAAACATCTATCAGCTGCCTCCTGCACAACCCCTATTGGCACAGGATTTTAAAAAGATTTCCAGGTGATTCTAAATTGCAGCCAAGATTGAGAACCACTGCCTACTGGGGATGTGCCCGAAACCAAGGTGCATGGCCTTGATGGGAATTGAACCTGGGACCCTTCAGTCTACAGGCCAACGCTTTATCCACTGAGCCAAACTGGTTAGGACAATCCATCTGTTTTCTGCCTGTGGAGCTGAAAAAGGAGCAGCCTTGCTCTTGGTCCTCTCCCCAAGCCTGACTATTCCTTTCCTCTTCCTACAGGTATACTGGGTGGGCCCCGTCATCGGAGGGGGCCTGGGCAGTCTCCTCTACGACTTCCTCCTCTTCCCCCGGCCCAAGAGTGTTTCTGAGAGACTGTCTGTGCTCAAGGGTACCAGGCCCAGGGACCCCAATGCACAACCAGAGGGCACAGGGGAACCTGTTGAACTGAAGACCCAGGCCCTGTAAACGCTCCTGTTGAACAGAGGGAGTAGGAAGCCTCTGAGTTTATGTGGAGGGGCTAAGCCACCCCTGGATGAAGAAAGAGCCTGTGGGGAGGGGCTTGTACTTCTTTATTTTTTAATTTATGTGTGAGTTGGGGTTTTTTGCCTTTTGCTGTGTGAAATCTTTCAAGTTGCATTCATGAGCTGGTCTGTGCAAACTTCCCTTCCTCCCCATCCCACCTCTCTTTGCCGTTGTGTGTGCATGACTGTGTGTGTATGAATGTGAGTGGACGTGGCTGTGTTTTGGGGCACGGCAGGAAAAGTAGGGAAGGGAGAAGAGGTATCACCCTACACCTTCCTCTCAGTGTGCTGAGCACAGGAAACCAGGACCTTAAGTTTCTGGTCATGCCAATCAAGTGTAAGGTTCTAGGTTTCTGAAAGAGCAGGGAAGCAGGGAGTACTCCTCACAGGAGGCAGATGGAGAGAAGTGGAGGACACAAGGCATTCCAGGGTTGGGAGAAGGGGCAGGGGCAGGAAGAGAGGAAATAAAGTTATTAGCCCCAATTCAGGATGCAATTGTACCAGATAGCTGTGGGGAAGGTAAAGGGAGAGTGTGGCCAACCTACCTCAGGGCTGCTTGCCCCAGGGCCTTGGGTGGGGCAGTAGCTCTGAGAAAAGTAAACACTGGGTTAGAGCCGTTCTGTTAAGCCACGTAAACCTGTCTACATCCACTGGCTGGGCTTTGTGTTATTCTGGCATGATGGGTCTCTTTGGAGACCCTGGGCAAGTGAGCTCACCAGCCAAGGCCCAAGGCGTGGGAGCCTACCATCTAGATAAATTAAGTAATTTAACTATTCTACTTGACTTCCCCAGCAGGGCCTGGGAGCAGATGGTACTTAAGCCCCAGGAGAGGTCCTAGGCAGAAACAGGAAAGCTGATGCCTGGAGCAAGGAAGGGTGGGAGGGGGGTGAAGGAGGGAGAGGCTTTGACCCTCGGTTTTTTGTTTTTCTGTCTTTCCCCAAGGCCACCCTCAGAGTTATAATTTAGAGCAGATCAAAAGACTTCAAATGGCATTTTTCTGCTTTTATCACTAGTTTTATAGTCTGTTTTATTTTCTTTTTTGTGTGCATCTTTTCACTTTTCTCTCAATTGTACTTTCATCTTCATCAGATCTCTCCTAACATCCCAGAAATTGATTCCTTCTATTCAAATGGTTAATAATTCAGGAGATAATTAGTCGGGTGAGCCCTACCTTCCTTTGTTGTTGGCAAAATACACTCATCTCAGCAGAGGCCAGAAGAGACCCTCAACGGACCAATGAATATTCATTGCTGATTTCCTTTCAGGCGCCTTCTACATGCTTCGCAAGCTTTAAACCTATACCTCCAGCGAGACGGACACCCCAGCCCCACATCGGTTCCCTGTTTGGTCTTTGGG